GCATTGTTGTAAGTGTAGACCAGGTCAGCAGGTGAATCGTACTGGATGAGGGTTGAGTCAGGGATGGTGTCAGCCAATAGGGAGGAGAGGGAAGAGGGGTTTATGGATTTGAGATTCCAGAAAGTTATGGTGCGCTTCTGCTTGATGAGGGGGGTTGGGGTGAGGATGTCCATGGTAATTGCCAGATGGTCGGAGATTGTGAGGTCAGAGGTGTTCAGATTGCTGATGGAAATGCCAGACTTGCAGACCAGGTCCAGTGTGTGACCTTTTTTATGGTTGGGAAAGTCTACATGCTGTGTGATCAGGGCTCGAGCTTAAGGACCTCCCGTCGTCCCGGGGCCGAAAAAAATCGGGTCGGGGAGGATACAAATTAATTTTGGGACGAATTTGGGACGAGAGTTAAAATAAAAATACCCTGCTAACTCTACTACGAACGGCGATGAAAATGAAACTGACTGCACGTTTTGTGTAGCACACAGTTATTAAACCTCCTTGTCAACATAAACACACACAAAGCATTTAGCAACCCGCGAAATACACACACACACACACAGTACGTAGCTACAGCTGTCAGCCAGCCGCACAGCTGTGATGTAACTACAATTTTTTTACCCCGGAGCGGTGCGGAGAAACTAAACTTAACTTATGAAGCAGCTTTTGACGACGCGCTATGCATGGGGCACCCTAGAGGGGGTTTCCAGACATGTCATTGCAGCTGAGATGAGAACTCTCCATCGCATTTAGTCCTTAGCAATATGCTGCGCCTCTCCCCATGTAGGGATGGGTACCGAGCCCCGGTATTAAACGGGCCCCGGGCCGGAATTATTAAAGACAGTGGTACCAACAGTGGTCTTTTTATCGGTACTGGAGACATTTAAAACATACATGTCATATGTATTATTGCTACATGAACATTACATTGCAGTTTTAGTTTCGCCAACTCCTTTTCTAATATGCAATAAGACTACAAAATGCGTCTATGATGTATTTTCCAATCCAGACGAGAGAGCTCTCTCCCCCGTCTGTGTGCGAGGGGGCGGGGCAGTTTGTAAAGGTCTCCTGACTGTGTTACAGACTGTCATCCTGGTTAGTGGTTACTCTTGGTTCTGTCTTCTGTCTTCAGGACAGAGTGTTGGATTTTTTTGTTAATCGGATGGGACTTGATTGGATTCAATATTAGAGTAACTTTCTCGCTTGTGTGTTTTTTTTAAATATATTTGGCCTTTGTTTCTGTGTTTGACTGATTTACTCAAATAAAAAGGTTGATGAATTATCATCTAATGATTTGTATGATGTTTTATTTATGTTAAAGGTCACTTTGAATGATTTTAACTAATGATAATGTAGAAAAACAAATATTTTAAATTCGGGACGGTCCACATTAATTTCGGGACGGCTTAGATTGTATTTCGGGACGGTTCCGGGAGGATGGTGAAAAAAGTTAGTCGAGAGCCCTGTGTGTGATGTTGAAATAGTTGAGGATGTCCAGGAGTTATGTAGTGGCTTTGGAGTCAGGTGAGTCAACATGAATATTGAAATCACCCAGAAGCCATGGTTGCGTGGTTTCTTCATGTATTTGTATCCGGGGGGTGTAGTCTGTTTGAGGGAGAAGTATTCCTGTGATTTTTGCCAAGTTTCAGTGATGCAGAGAAAGTCCAGATTATTGGCTGTGAGAATGAGACCCTTGCTATTCAGAGACCGGGTGTTAAATAGAGCAAGTTTGAGATGTTGAGTTTTAACAGGCTGGGGTGCTTTGGGAAGGGGGTTGTAGGCAGGCAGAGTGCACGTGTTGGTTGTTGTGATGATGACATGGTGGCGGCGGGGTGGTGTCAGTGCGCGCAGCAGACCAGAGGGATGGGATGGAATGACCGGACCGGGAGTAAAAAACGTTCTTCCGGAGCTTCTGTGGATGTATTTTGGTCGTTGTTGCAGTCCTTGATTTCTGATGGCGGAGATTATCGTTGGGCATAGTGGAGTGGAAAACTGTTTTAGCTGGAGTAGTAGTCATGCCAGACGGGGAGGATGCGAGACAGGAGTTGTTTGCCTGTTGCAGTGAAGTTATTGAGAGGATAAGTGACAGAGTCAGCAGGAATCTCCACAGCATGGCAGGTGATCGGGCCGAGAGGTTGAGTCAACTGCCAATGAGACAGCGGGAGTGGGAGGGAGAAAGACGGCGAGGAGACGAAGCCGGTAGACGGGTCCGCTGCTAGCGTTTAGCATCTAGCCACCCGGTGATTGGAGGTTGGCTAGCTGAGTGCTAGCTGTAGAGGTAGCAATCCCGGCTATCAGGGCTGACCGCACCGGGATATCTGAGAGACTATCCGGGAAATACCTCACAGTAGCTGTGCCGTACAGAGACGAAGGTATCCAATGGCCAGGACAGCTGATGGCAGGGATCAGATGAGTTTGGTGATAGCGGCCGGATGGGGGCTGGTAGCTAGCAGGCTAGGAACCGTTGAGCAGTTGATCACTAACAGGTAGGTGACAACTACTTGAAAAACAAAGTAACGATACAGATGAAACAAGAATTCACTCGCACTGATTACACATAAGAACAAGTACACTATTAGCTCTACCCAGGTAGAAGGAGCAATAGCAGTTCACACACAGAACTGAACTATAGAGATCTTGAATTATCTTATTTAAAAAGGGAAAGGACTCTTTTATTTGTTTAGTTTTATTTATTTTGAAGTATGTTAAGAGCTCTATTTTTAATTATTTATTTTTCACATTGTGGGCACACAATCTAATGTGAATGTTGATAAATATTGCTGCCAATAAAATTGTCAACTGTTCAACTAAATCTAACTCCTCCCCAGAGTTGTTCAAGGCATACCACTATTCGGACCTAGGTAGATGTTATGGCGCGTTTCCACTACAGCGCGGAGCACGGTTTAAGAGAGCTGTGACGTCAGCGGCCCGTCTTTGGTTGCGTTTCCACTTGGCTTAGTACCGGCCGGCGGGTCCTAATTCACAGTTTTTCTGGCCTCATAAAATCGCGGTTCTAGGGCCAGAGACAACGAGGCTGAGTCGGGCTGAGTATGCTAAACTAGAGAGAGCATCGCTGGCAAGGGGGCTACAACTACAACAAGATGGACATATTTGACCGTGATTTAATTGTAATACACGTTTCAAAATGATGCCGAAGTAACAACATACTGATACCGGTTAGTAAAAACCATGAATTAATGCTTTGACAAGTCTGCAGACAGACGGCAGGCGAAAAACCTTTTAAAATGCGTGTTTTCTAAATGGAGATTGGCTAAGCTAACGCAGTATATGCTCCGACCGTCCACACTCACAACAACGGCCTATACAGACATAAATAAAGCAGCGACTGTATTCACCATGACACAGGCAGTCTGTGGTGTGTACTTGTTTAACTTTTGTCTAGTTTCTGAACATATATGAGGAGCTGTGAGCTCTGAGTGCTAACAGCTAACGGCTGTGTTGTTTTTCTGGGGTTCTCATTGAAGATCACGTCACGGCTCCGCCTACACTGCGTTACTATAGATACTACCCCAGTTCCTAAACTGTAATGGAAATGCGCCATAAAGTGAGCCAGTCCTAACGAGGCCCAGCCATACCGAGCGGGGCCGAGCGAGGCCGTGTAGTGGAAACGCGCCAAGTGTCTCTGTTCTTTGTGTGAGATAGGACTACAGGTGCTACATTATCTTATCTTAATGCACAACAGGGAGTTGCAGCTTGCCGCAGTAACACATTGCTGGGCCCTGAGGCATATTCTTGTGCTACGGGCGGGAAGAAATTATTTGTAATAATAAAATACAATAAAAAGTTACCTTAACAAACCTCAAGTCACCTGTTAGTGGCATGATAATCAAAATCAATCAGAACGAATGACCAGTTTCACTTCAAACAAATGAACTAATTGGAGATGGGGGAGGTTAGGTGATTGGGGGATTTCACTGCTTGTGTGGCATTCCATATATATAAAAAAAGAAAAGAGATGGGTTCATTCTTTATTATCTGAAATCCATTGTTTTCTTTTATTGTACAGCTATCTCCAGTTTGTCCATGTTCATTATGTGAGGTAGAAAGGAAGATATTGTGCTGTTTTACGAGCTGACAGACCTTTGATGATGACTGATCACCTAATGTTTGAGTCAGATTGGACTCGTACTGAAGGCTCAGGTAGCAAACATGATCTAGAGATCTCAGAGTATCCGAGGGAAACAAAGCCATTAGCTCAGCTGAGACACTTCACAATCCTGCTGACCTTTTTACAGCTGCTGTTTGATCTATCATGATTTCCCTTAGCTGCACCAACAGGAGACCTGCCCCCACATGTTACTCTGCTGTGCACGGATAGCAGCATGGAGCTGTGCACACAACAAACATCTCCATGTAAACAGAAATGCTGAACCACTCTCCTACACAGAGTTGATCTCTCTGTGGGTTTTGGAAAGCTTGGTTCTTTGGTAATACTGCCACACACTTTCTTGAGCCAGCTCAAAAGAGAAGCTGACTGGGGGCCTGTGTCCACATAGCACCTCATTCTATGCACCAGCTGATCTGAACACTTAAGCGCTGGTGACTGGTAATGTCAGTGTACAAATTGGAGGGGAAGCTCCTTATTGGCTGTGTCTTTCGTACCGAGACCATCATAACAAAGAGAGAAACGCTCATTTGTTTGAGCAGATCAGCCGGCAGACCCTGGATGTTGCTGCCGGTGAGTGTTGTACTTTTCTTGCCATGAGATGAAGCTCACTCATTCAAAGTGTTTGGTGCTCATGATAAAAAAACTAAGTCAAACAAAGGTACAGTACAGAGCAATACACAGGCAGGATATTGTTGACACTGAAACAATGAAAAAGCGCTGGTAGCGTTTTTTGATGAAAGGCTGAGAGGAGGAGCTCCCTGACGCTGTGCTGGCATCTTTCTGCCAAGAGAAGGCGCTATGTGGACACAGGGCCAGATTCAAACACAGCCACTGAACAGCAAATATAACAGCATCACCATGCAGTGTGTGTGGGAGTTACCTGCAGTCTGGCCAGCTGGGTGATCCTGGCCACTATCTTGTTGTACGGGTCAACAATCTTCGTCCTGATCCTGAAGAGATTTGCAACGTTTCATTAGGAACCAGAGAGTTGCTCATAAAAGCATCACCGCACAAATCCTGAAGCATCTTTGTGTATCTCGAAAAGCACTATATAAAAATTCTATGTATAATTTTTATGAACCTGTCATCTGAGACTTGTTATCAGCTGACCACAATTGTTTCAGATTGCATCAAAAAGTTATTTTCAGCTGTTTTGTGGGAGGGTAAATTAATAATTATTAAACATTTTATTCGTTTAGCACTATAAAAAAATTACCCAATAAGACAAACCTAAACAAATAAGATAATGAGTTTAGAAATATAGCATCACCTGTTAACAATGAGTAATTCAAGGCTTAAGACGGGCATTCTCTGTAACACCATTTTTGCTCAAACATCTTTTAAAGATGTTGGTGGAGGCTGGCTTTTGAGTGGTTGTACAAGAGCTGTTTAGTGAGTTAAGTTAGGGGGACAGGCAACAATGGAAGAGGTGGTGCTGATATTGTAATTGATTTCTATCACAATTACAAAGTTAAAACAGAATCCAACATATTTAATCACTGTTGTTTTTTTGTTTGCTTTACTGTGTGCATTGTGATTCTTTATTGTCATCTTAGAAGAGCAGAACCTATGACCCATTTAGGTTCAAACTTAAATTAGACACATCAAAGGCCTTAGTTTCTTCACTGGATTTTGCTACGCCAAGAGATCATGGAGAAAGCGTTTTGTTAAATACTGCCGATAAGTCAACACAAATCTTCAAAACAAGGTTTTCCTATAAATGTGAGGATGTTTGTAGAAAGAACGTTAGGCACATTAGGCAGAGAGAGCTGACAGCATGCTGCAGCTTTAAATTCTATTTGAAACTGATTTTCTCAACCAAGTTCTGGTCAAGGTTAGAAAAAGGTCTTGTCATGCACCTTAAGCTTGATCAAATCAAAATGACAACATGTGCAAATGGCAGAAATATGATCAAACCATATCCACCCAATAATGATGAAGAGGATTAGCTGAGAGTTTTTGACAAAATGTCAACTTTAATATAGTTTGATATAGTCATACTTTTTTGATGATTCTGAGATTTATTCTGAAAGTACATTTTGAGGGTTTTTATGGACTGAAATGGAATAAACAATTATATCATTTTCATGCCCAGTTAAGAGGACCAGTGCAGAATGGAGACCGTGGCTGTAAGCAGTGTGAGAATGACTCCAATCATTCAGCCACAGGAAACACTTTACCTGTCCACAGCTGCCTGCAGAGCACTGATCCTGGTCTGCATCATCTGAAGGACCCCTGAAAAACAAGATTTGCTGTCAGTACAGTACAATTTCACACTTATTTGAAGAGGTCCCCTATTATACTGTTTTTCATCAATATATTATAGGTCTCAGATATATACAAAACATGTCTCTGAAGTGTTTGGCTCCAAATACCAAACAGATCATTGTAGCTTCCCATAAACCCCTCTGTTTCAGCCCTGTTTCCAAAGTGCTGATTCTCTGTCTGTTACTTTAGATGAAAATAAGGAGCCCCTCCCCACGCCCCTCTGAGAGAGATTTGGTTACAAAGAACACAATGGTGCTCGAGGAGGACATTCAGGTGATAAGGTGGGGGTGGGGGGGGGGGTGTTACCTTGGTTGGTTATTGGCTAATGGTTACACAAGCCAAAAAAAAAGTGGCCAAAATCTGATCAGCTCATTTCCAGACAGGTTTTTATAGAAATGGATCAGGACAAAAAGTGAGAGAATCTTTGTTCCTGAAACTTTCAGAGTCTCTTTACACAGAGGGGACACATGTTGATGTATTTTATTAGAGTCCTCTACTGCAGCAGGTGTCTTAATGATGTTCTCGTTTTAACCCGGAGGTTGGCTGATGGGGCTTATAAGGCATTATTACTGTCGATACACATCTTACCAATAAGCAGTAGTAAGGATTCTCAATATGCAATAAAGGTCCATGCAGTAATATAAATGATCATTGCATTGTAAGTAAAGTTAAGAGATCTACACTGGAGCTGCAGCATACGGTAAGTAATTATAATTCATGAAAATGCATTGCACTTTACTTGCCACCAAAATTATATGTTGCTATGGTCTTATTAAATATGTTAAAAGTAGACAAGCAATCAGTTACATAATGTAAGATAGTGGCAGACCGTTCAAATCCCTCTGTGGTTTCATTAACATTGCCACAAACATTTTAAAGATCTCAGTACATATCTGGGACCTGCATTGATTAAAGCTGATAACTTGTTTTATAACATTTATATTTTAAACAGGCATGGTCCGCAATCACTTTAAAGGCTTCTCCCAGAATCAAAAGGTGTATACCAATTGCTCACTCCGAGTTACCTTTAGTTCTTGAAGAAAAACTTCCTGCATGCCTCCACAGTGAACGAACATTTTAAAAAACGGTGAAAAATCTTAATAAAATTCATTAAAAAAATGAACGCAAATGAATCACATTACATTACATTTGAGCCAAAGTTGTTCCCCTTATGCCAGTGGGGATGTTTACCATGTATTGCGCGGCAGGGAAAAAGAGTCCAGGACCAGGCGGCTACACTGCTGAATTCTATCAGGCATTTTTACTCAAATTAGCCCCTATTTTAATTTACATGTTTAATGACTCATTTGAATCTCTTAAATTAACCCAGACTCTCACGCAGGCCTCGCTTTCCCTTATTTTGAAAAATAATCAGGACCCTTTGTCCTGTGCCTCGTTTCGTCCTATAAGCTTGCTGAATGTAGACTTCAAACTACTGTCCAAACTCTTAGCTTTGCGCCTTGAGTCTACACTTCCCTCTGTTATCTCCCCTGATCAAACGGGTTTCATTAAAAATAGACATTCCTTTTTTAATTTAAGACGGTTATTTAATACAATTTATAACCCATCTCCTTGTACTGCTCCAGAAGCATTAATATCCTTGGATGCAGAGAAAGCTTTAATCGTCTATCTCTTTTACTCCTTAGACAAATGTGGCTTTTTTGACAAAACGTAATCTTGCGAAAAGTGAATTATTTCTCTAAACACAACCGCACGTACATCTCCGTTACATAACTTCCCATTTAACCTGTTAAGCCCTGAGCCTGTTTTCAGGCACGAAAATGACATGCCCAGAACAAATGACTATATCTTCACTTCTAAAATGGGGTAAATTAATCATCTTTTTTCTCAAAGCAATGATAAACCTGTGAGTTGGATGTAGAAAAGTCAGAATTAAAGTAAATTCAGATTGAACATAGTAAAAAAATGTAAATTATAGTTTCCGTCCAAAAAGAAACCATTACTTGTAGTGAAAACCACCCTTGAATGATGGGATAGTAGACTTTAGGAATCCAAACTATAACATATAATAAGTACCCTGTATCAAGATTGATGCAAAACAAGTGACATTTGACCTTTTTAAGAGAGGTTTAGAAAAAAACAAACACCTCTGGGGTCATTTGGGTGGATTTGCCATATCTCTGGAACCCATCGGTCGATTTTGATGATTGACACCACTTTTGAACCGTTAGAGCCAATAGAATCGAGAGGGAGTTCCTAAATCCATCTAAACATTACCCATTGGTGAATGAGAGTGATGCGCAGCCAGCATGCCCAAAACCGGAAGCTCTCATACACTCTCATAGCAGCTATATATGAAAACTACTCTTATTGACATAAATGTTATGATGGATTATCAGTAATCATTTCAAAGTGACACAGAGACATTGGATTAACCTTCAGCAGCGTTTATATGCGTTGTAATGCCATTGAACACAACTTTTGATCAGAAAACAGCAAAGGTAAGACATATTTGCCGTTTTGGCCACGTAAAGTGAAGTTGTGTGTTGTCTTTGCTTGCCTTCGCTGCCCTGCGTTTTGGTCGCACAGTGATGATACTTATACCATTGGAATCTGTGGGATCTCAGCTTTCATGTGATATCTTGTTTGTGCAGATCCGATGAAGTGTACAATATTTATACCGTGAGTTATGTGCTAAGTGCGTTAGCACTCTTTCGCTTAGTGCTAATTCAGACGCTTGGCGTTAGAGTTGTGTTTTGTTTCGGTACAAATGGTTCATAGCGTCAGGTAGCTGAGTTTCTTCCCGTTTAGTGGGTATGACACATTCATAGTTTGTTAAATGTTAAGAAGCCCTCAGACGCTGTTTCTTGCAAGATGTTGCTTAACAGGTTAAAGTATATCTGCAAAGTTTTACATGTCTTGGAATCCAAGTTACTAGCAAATGTAAAAGTCTCTTTAAGGCCAATTTTACACCCTGTTTAGAACGTATGCAACAAGAATTTGAACGCTGGTCACTGCTCCCATTCAATTTGGCCGCGAGGATCAACTCGGTCAAAATGAATACTCTCTCTTTCATTGTATACCTACTTTTCTTCCTTAAGCATTTCTTTGAAAAACGGATAGCTTAATTTTTGAGTTTATTTGTAGAAAGTCTTTACGTAGTCTAGGGTTTTTTGTTCCAAAGGCCAAAGCCTCTTGGAGGAATGGCCTTACCAAACTTTAGGTTTTACTATTGGGCTTCCAACCTTAGAATCTTACAGTATTGGCTTAGATCTGAAACATTTCATCCTCACCCAGCTTGGCTGGCTATGGAGTCTTTTTCCTCTAAGCCTGTGTCACTGACATCGCTTGTACACTCCCCCATCAACAGCCCCATTTCCCTTTATGCTAAAAATATAGTTGATAAAACCTCCTTAAGGATTTGGAATCAGTTCAAACGTCACTTCGGTCTGCAAGCTTTCTCTACCTCGGCTCCACTAGTTGCAAATCATGTTTTTCCACCTCCATATCAGATTGTGCATTTACTATATGGTCAAACCTTGGTATTAAACAATTTAAAGATGTACATATTGATAATAGGTTTGCATCTTTTCAACAGCTCTCGGAATAGTTTTTTTTTTAGATACCTGCAAATTCTGAGTTTTGCTCGAAATAGATATGCCCAGTTTCCCAACCTGCCTGGCGACATGCCTCTAGATGCTTCTCTCACTCAGGTCCCTGTGATGAAAGGAATGATCTCATACTTTTATAATGAAATCCAAACCCTATCTTCAACCTCTCTAAACTCTGTGAAAGCTCTTTGGGAGGAGGATTTGGGGCAGGAGATCTCAGAGGATCTTTGGGGCTGGAGATCTCAGAGGATCTTTGGGGCAGGAGATCTCAGAGGATCTTTGGGGCAGGAGATCTCAGAGGATCTTTGGGGCTGGAGATCTCAGAGGATCTTTGGGGCTGGAGATCTCAGAGGATCTTTGGGGCTGGAGATCTCAGAGGATCTTTGGGGCAGGAGATCTCAGAGGATCTTTGGGGCTGGAGATCTCAGAGGATCTTTGGGGCTGGAGATCTCAGAGGATCTTTGGGGCTGGAGATCTCAGAGGATCTTTGGGGCTGGAGATCTCAGAGGATCTTTGGGGCTGGAGATCTCAGAGGATCTTTGGGGCAGGAGATCTCAGAGGATCTTTGGGGTAGGAGATCTCAGAGGATCTTTGGGGCTGGAGATCTCAGAGGATCTTTGGGGCAGGAGATCTCAGAGGATCTTTGGGGCAGGAGATCTCAGAGGATCTTTGGGGTAGGAGATCTCAGAGGATCTTTGGGGCAGGAGATCTCAGAGGATCTTTGGGGCAGGAGATCTCAGAGGATCTTTGGGGCAGGAGATCTCAGAGGATCTTTGGGGCAGGAGATCTCAGAGGATCTTTGGGGCAGGAGATCTCAGAGGATCTTTGGGGCAGGAGATCTCAGAGGATCTTTGGGGTAGGAGATCTCAGAGGATCTTTGGGGCAGGAGATCTCAGAGGATCTTTGGGGTAGGAGATCTCAGAGGATCTTTGGGGCAGGAGATCTCAGAGGATCTTTGGGGCAATATTCTTAAGCGTGTGCCCACCTCATCTGTCAGCGGCAGACATGGTTTGATTCAGTGTAAGCTTGTTCACCGCACTCATTGGACTCAAGTCAGGTTGTTCAAAGTGTATGACAATATAGATCCTTCTTGTGAAAAATGTCATCAAACACCTGCAAACCATGTGCACATGTTTTGGTCATGTACGTCTCTGACAAAGTATTGAAAGTCCAGTAGTTGTGCAGAGGTAACTGGTAGGGAAGGGATGCTCCGATCGGGAATTTTGGGGCCGATCGCCGGAATCAGTATCGGCCGATACCGATCGCCGATCCGATCGGGTGGGTGGGGTCTATGGGGATCTTCCATTTAAAGTGATGTTTAAAACTCAGTTAATGGGGCTCATTTTCATATTGCTTCAGTTTATAATCGTAACGGATCGAACAGTTCAGATGAATTTTTCAATACATGATGCGCTTCCACAAACAACCAACATAATTATTACATTCAAATGAAGTACATTATTCAAATTTACATTAACTTTGGATAATAACACGGGAGAAATTAGCGGAAGCGTTCTCTTTTCTTCTCTCTCTCCCTCTCCCTCTCTCCCTCTCTCTCTCCCCTTCTCTCCCTCTCCTGACAGCCCGTCAGTATCTCCTGTAGCTCACTGATCCAGTAATGAGTGACCCGACAGTGAAGAATAAATATATTTATAACTAGTTTAGCTAGTTCCAGAGGTAGATAAAATAGCTAAGTCTGTTAGGTCTAACTCTTAGTGTGTGTTTTGCTCCGCTCAGCGGTCCGTCACAGCGGGCGGAGCTGCAGGATTTCTGCTTCACACACGTTGCATACCGCTATTTTATTGCCATTTTCGGACACCTTAAAATACTACGATCGGCGGCCGATAACGATCGGAGCATCCCTAATAACTGGGACGCTTATAGAGCCCAATGCCATTACTGCAGTAATCGGTGTCTCGAACCTGCCTTTGCCTGGCTCTAAGCGGACCTTATAGCCTTTGTAACATTACCATTAAGACGCCTAATACCAACAAGAAATCAACACCACCTTCCTACAGTATGTGGATAAGACACATTTGTTATAATTTACAGCTTGAAAAGATCTGTTACACACTGAAAGGCTCCTCCAGGAAGTTCAAAAATGTCTGGGGGCCTTTATTTGAACTATGCAAAGAGGATGACCTTCCCAGATATTCCAGAATATCTTATTATTTTTTTTATTTGCTTTACTCATTTATTTAAAACATTTTATTTTATTCTGACCTGGAGAGAATGAGGTTATTATTTGTTTGCTTTTTTTTGTTGTATGACCAAGCCAACTAATGTATTGTTTGTTATGATCTGCACAACTGTAATGTGACACTGTCAATCACAACTGCTCTGTAATTTCTGTCAATTTGTGATGAAAATCAATAAAAAAAAAGGAAAAACAATGTTAATTATTTACCTTCAAGGGACTCTATCCCAGTGGCCTGAGACAGTAAGTCTTCATGTCTGGCCACAACCTGGATGGAGGAAGTATAAACACATAAGAATTATTGTTACCACAGGGATGTGGTTTAACACTAGAACCGCCAAAGGGTCAATTTTACCCGCAGCTGTCTTTTTGATTGTATGTAACTTTTTTTCAATAAAATATTCAAGTCTCCCAGTCCGTGACTTTTCCTGAAAGTGTGTTATGTAGCACCCTCTGTTGTTAAAAATGGTCAATATGAAGTCAGATTGAAAATATCGCCCAAAAGAAATGCCATTTATACCTATATCCGCCAGCGGGTAATATTTACCTCATAGAAAATGCAGCGTAAGCATGACGTGTTGCTATAGCAACGCCTTTTGTCTACTGCGGTTCCTTATAGATAGAGAGATAGATTGAGAGAGAGATAGATATATAGATAGATAGATAGATAGATAGATAGATAGATAGATAGATAGATAGATAGAGAGAGATAGAGAGATAGACTGATAGTTATAGATGGATCGATAGATAGTTATAGATAGAGAGAGAGATTTGTACCTAAACAAAACAAAAAAGTCTAACACCAAGCGTTTAAATCAGCACTGGTAGCGATATTTTATACTTCATGCTATCTGCACAAACTATATCATATGAAAAGCTGATTCTATTGGTATAAGTTTCATCCCTGTGCGATCAAAACTCACTGTTCTACATGATAAATAAAAGAACATTGTACCTTGAAAATCAATAGCGGGTAAATTTGACCCATTGGCGGTTTTAGGTATACAGCGACCTCTGGCGGTTCTAGTGTTAAACAAGTTTATGCTTCATTTCAACTAAACGATATTATTAGTTAAACCACATTGCTGCCCGAAGGGCACAGAATAATTAAACAAATGACACACTTTAGGAAATGGCCAGAAGTATTCCTAATGATTTGCATTTATTGGGATAAAAGATTATCCACATTGGTGGTGGTGGTGGTACTGGCGAGATTTTGCGAATTCACAGGTAAGGTTTACTGTAACAAACCCGGACATAAGCAACTTCACCATGTCTTGATGTGTCTATCACGTTTGATATTAATGCTTGTTTCTATTATCACATTTTGGTGAGAACTGTAGTCTATTTGTGTCTGTTGGGAAAATGTAAGAGTCTGTGTATTATTTCCCACAATTAAATGCAAATAATCTTAAAGTTATCTTTTATATAATGTCAATTTCTGGATTTTCTTTTTGATATTCTCTCCCTCATTAGTAAAATAAACCTACCACTCTTAATTTCTTTGTAAGTGGGCAAACTAACACAATCTGCAAGGGATCAAATACTTATTTCCTCCACTCTACAAACACATTTTATTTTTTTTTGTAATATATTTTTTACTCTTGGTGATGATGATAAGCAGAATGTCGATCTCCCTGTCTATCACACACACAGAAGACAATAAAGTTGACTTTGACTGTATTATTATGAATACACATCATTGTTATGATTTCATCATCAGTTCGACATTTTGTAAAAGAAACCTCAAAATCAACAAACAATTGTCATAATAACTGCAGATACATTTTGTGTCAATTTGAAAAATGATTAAACCTCTAATCATCGCAGCACTTTTTCCAACACTCCATATCAATAATATTCTCAGAATATGAATATTATTGTCAAATTTGAATACCTTCTGAAAAAGACCACCATCACACACCCGGCTCAGAGTAAGATGATCGCATATGATCCTGAGACAAAAAGCTCTGGTGTTTAAAGAATCATTCCTAGCGTTTGGTTATACGCAGCACACTGATTCACCAGTAGATGGCGATTTGATTGAGCAGTCTTCATGCGAGACATCCTGAACCTTGGTCTTTGGTGAACTGTACCTGGCTGTGCAGCTCCTTGTCCAGCTGACTGATGCCCTGAGCCAGCCGGCCCAGCTGCTCCGCGAGGACCGCATGCTGGATGGCCTGAGCCGTGTACGTCTTCACATCAAAGTCCTCTGCCAGGAAGTCAGCGTAGCAGCCTGGAACACAGCAGCACATCCAACATCTCTCAGAACACTGTGGACATTTCACAACCTCATCCTGAGTTGACCTGTTTCTGAAACAACACCTCTCTTTCTCAATGAACCATTCAGCTGCACCTGTCGTTCCTTCAGTAGGCAGAGCAGTTCATCTCACACACCTGCACTGTGTCTGTTGTTTCTGTCTGTCTGTTGTCTCTCTGGTCTCTCCGTCTGTTATCTGTCTGTTGTCTCTCTGTCTGTTGTCTCTCTGTCTGTCTGTTGTCTCTCTGTCTGTCTGTTGTCTCTCTGTCTGTCTGTTGTCTCTCTGTTGTCTCTCTGTCTGTTGTCTCTCTGGTCTCTCTGTCTGTCTGTCTGTTGTCTCTCTGGTCTGTCTGTCTGTCTGTTGTCCCTCTGGTCTCTCTGTCTGTCTGTCTGTCTGTTGTCCGTCTGGTCTCTCTGTCTGTTGTCTGTCTGTCTGTTGTCCCTCTGGTCTCTCTGTTGTCTCTCTGGTCTCTCTGTCTGTTATCTGTCTGTCTGTCTGTCTGTTGTCTCTCTGGTCTCTCTCTCTGTCTGTTGTCTCTCTGGTCTCTCTGTCTGTCTGTCTGTGGTCTCTCTGTCTGTCTGTCTGTCTGTTGTCTCTCTGGACTGACTGTCTGTCTGTCTGTCGTCTCTCTGGTCTGTCTGTCTGTCTGTTGTCCCTCTGGGCTCTCTGTCTGTCTGTTGTCCATCTGGTCTCTCTGTCTGTCTGTTGTCTCTCTGGTCTGTCTGATGTCTCTTTGGTCTCTGTGTTTGTGTTGTCTCTCTGTTGTCTCTCTGGCCTCTCTGTCTGTTGTCTCTCTGTTCTCTGTTGTCTGTCTGTGGTGTGGTCACCATAGTTCATTACAGGCTATTCCAATGGTCCCAGCAGTAGAATGTAAATGTAAACATTGCTAGAAGCTGGCGCTGGGCACACGTCACTAACCCATGAGTGTGTGGTACGGACGGGTACGGATAACACGTCAGTAACCCAATAACACACGTCACTGTTGGAATGAAGATACAGGGTTAGCCTCGGAAAGTGTTCTGCAGGTTATAGCTGCGCAGGGACAGTGGAGATATGATGAAGCTGTCGAGAATATGTTTTAGAAATATCCATGAACGAATTTATTACGACACACACCACTGCTCATAGCTGTTTTTACCATCTTTCAGAAGTGAATTCGTGGAACCTTCTCTCCCGTTCTCCATGTTGATATTTCCGCAGCTGACGTCAGACGTCCGCGACACGTGTCACAGGACGTTGCCGGAGTCTTAAAGGGCCACACCATGAAGGCTTCTCAATTCTCTAATTTCCCCTCCTCGACTCCTATCTTCGTGTCTTAGTCCCGCCCACAGGAGATGCGAGCGGAGGAGTCGAGGAGGGGAACCGAGGAGAGAGGAGTGGAAGCAGCAGGCGGTTAGAGAAATGAGAAATCCTCTCCTCTAAGTGGTTTTAAAGAGACGTCCATTAATGATGACAGGAGGCACAGCAGCACACTGGGGCCGTTTCTCAATCGCGAGGATATTGGCTTCCAAGCCAATATTTCAAGGATGCTACGTCATCGAATGCCGCCGAAGTACTGTTCCAATCTCCAGTATACTTGGAAATGTCTTAAACACTCCACCATCATTCCTGTCCCCAAAAAGACAATCATCACCTGCCCCAACGACTACCGCCCAGTAGCACTCACCTCCATCATAATGAAGTGCTTTGAGCGGTTAGTCAAATTATTCATCACCCTCCTCCCTCCCTGAATCTCTGGACCCCCTGCAGTTTGCCTACAGAGCAAACAGGTCCACAGACGACGCCATAGCCCTCACCCTCCACACTGCCCTCTCACACCTGGACCCGAAGAACAGGAACACATATGTGAGAATGCTGTTCATTGACTACAGTTCAGCATTCAACACCATTGTGCCCTCCAAGCTGGCCATCAAGCTCAGAGACCTCGGGCTCAACAGCGCCCTCTGCGACTGGATCCTGAACTTCCTGACGGGCAGACCCCAGGCAGTGCGGGTGGGAAATATCACATCCTCCACCCTGATTCTTAACACCGGTGCCCCTCAAGGCTGCGTGCTCAGCCCTCTCCTCTACTCCCTGTTCACCCACGACTGCGTGGCCACACACAGCTCCAACACCATCGTGAAGTTTGCTGATGACACGACCGTCATCGGCCAGATCACAGACGATGACGAGACGGCATACAGAGAGGAGGTCGAAAACCTGACATCTTGGTGCCAGGAGAACAACCTCCATCTCAACATCAGCAAAACAAAGGAGCTGATTGTGGACTACAGGAAGCAGCAGGGAGAGGGACACGCCCCCATCGCCATCAATGGGACTACGGTGGAGAGAGTCAAAAGCTTCAGGTTCCTTGGGGTCCACATCACTGAGGACCTGACATGGTCTCTTCACACCACCACCATCACCAAGAAAGCTCGACAGCGGCTCTTCTTCCTCCGCAGGTTGAGGAGGTTCAAAATGGATTCCAGGATACTCTGCAACTTCTACAGGTGCACGATAGAGAGTATCCTCACTGGCAGCATGACGGCCTGGTACGGCAGCTGCACCGACCTCGATCGTAAGGCTTTACAGAGGGTGGTGAAAACTGCACAGCACATCACCAGGACGGAGCTGCCATCCATGGAGGACCTTTACTCCCAGCGGCTCAGGAAGAAATCACTACGGATTATCAAAGACCCCCATCACCCCAGCCACAAACTGTTCTTTCTGTTGCCGTCTGGCAGACGTTACCGCAGCATCCGGGCAAGGACAAGAAGATTCGGAGACAGTTTCTTCCCGCGGGCAGTGAGACTGTTAAAAAATTGAACTGTTGAAACAACTTCAAACATTCAACTGCTACTCAGTAGTATGTATCTAATACCTAATATATATATATCATTCCAATAACTTGTATATAGACTCATACTGCACTATTCCACATCATAACTTTATTTCATTTTTATAACTATTATTATTTTTGTATTGCTCTTGCTCTTATTGTTATTATGTTATGTTATTATGTTGCATTGTTGGAGAAGCCTGTGACATAAGATTTTCAACTGCATAATTACTCTGTAGCTATGTCAGATTGACAATAAAGAACCTTGAACCTTGAACCTTGAACCTTGAAATCTACCGAGCCCGGCGTACTCCGTTTGGAGAAATATCGAGGCTGCACATGAGTAGACTCCGCGGTCTTAAAATCCCCACAATGCTTTGCGCACGGACCAATTTCCAAAATCTGTGGCGGAAAATGTAAGGCGGGGCCTATCATATGACGCACACCTGCACACTTGCTAGCCTGTTCCACTCTTTGGGTGTTTCTCAATCGCATGTAAAGCTGCTTCAGAGCCACTATTTCAAGCATACTACGTCATCGAGTGCCGCCGAAGTACTGTTCCAATCTCCAGTATACTTGGAAATCTACCGAGCCCGGCGTACTCCGTTTGGAGAAATATCGAGTCTGCACATGAGTAGACTTCACGGTCTTAAAATCCCCACAATGCTTTGCGCACGGACCAATTTCCCCAAATCTGTGGCGGAAGATGTAAGGCGGGGCCTCTCATATGACGCACACCTGCACACTTGCTAGCGTGTTCCACACTTCGTTTTCCGAATGCCAGGAAGTATTCTTGACTCGCTTCTGAAGCAAGATGCTCGGCAGACATGTGCTACCAAGCAAGCGTACTCGCGATTGAGAAACACCCTCAGTCTGATGGACAGATGTGTTCATGACGACTTATATATTTACTTTTAATTCATTGACAGTGCGGTATAATGAGACAATAACAGGCTACAGATGCAGACATATACAGTACACACACATATATTTATATAAATATATACAATTTCAGAATCAAACAAGTATGAGAATGAGAGTATGAAGGTAGATATGGTGCAAAATGCGAGAGCGTGTAAAACCTGATGTGAGCACTTGCAGGAAAAAAATCTGAGCTTGTGTGCATACATTTACACTTGTATAACATATCCACGTATCTGTGAACCAAATGTGAAGTCCCAGAAGAAAAAAACAAGTTCTGTAGCTTCTAGAGAAAAAATGAACTTAGTGATGAAATGTTCACTTGCAGAAAAATATATATTTTTTAAATATATTTTCCATTACAACTGCAACTTGGTTATTACAATCTCGCAAATCAGTCATTACAACTTCACGAACCTGCTCTGTGGCAGTATACATCGACGAATCTGCGGCCTTGACTTTTGCTACACTTCTTGCGATGAATGTGTCGCTAAAGTAATTTTCACCTGTAGATGTGGGGGGAGGAACATGGGGAGGAAGGGGGGTTGGAGCGAAGGGGCGGAGCTATCAGAACGAGGAGGCGCAAGCTCGGGTCAGTCACACAGCCATGTCAGGTCGAACCGGATAATTGCGGGGCCCTGCATGTTGCCCCTTTCACACCAACGCGGTTCCAGGGCCGGTTCGGAGCTTGTGCCTGATAAGCACCGGTTTTTCCTGTTCACGCCGCAGCGGAGACGGCTCTTTTCCCCCAAAACCGGTTCTTACCAAGCTCGAAAAAAGTGTTGGTCTAGGCAAGAACCGCATACGTCACGCTTACGTCGGAGGGGGGCTAGATTAACCTGAACCCTCAGTTTATGGAGAGTACGGCAAATAAAAGTTGAAACAAGCAGTAGCGCTGAACAAAGTGACTAGAACGCAACCACACACTTTATAAAGTCAGGCAACACTAACCAGTAACCAGGCTTCGTGTGATTCTGTTTATTTGGCCATCCGTTCGCTGTTATTGATCATTGTGGAGGGGGCAGACGTTTTGTATTATAGCAGCTATCAGATGGAATCAATACATGGGCTGCACAGGTTGTCATGTCAGGCCTCACAAGTAGAATCATAATGAAAAATACGCCGGTAAAATGTGCCTGTAGAAAACGACTGATGCCACAAGTTATAGCAACAAGCTACAAGTAGCCTAGTCAATAGCCGCGTTCACACCAAGTACTTTGCCGTACTTAGTGCCGGCACTTAGTGCCCCGGCACTTATTACTCCAGGGCACGAAGTACCAGAGAGAAGAGGGAAGAGGCTGTGTGAATTACTTTACATTGTGGATAAGGGTGGATAGCCCCCATTGTTCTGTGTGTCAAAATGAAAGACAGCCCACACACCTATCAATCATCAAACCGTGGGGTCTTATTTCATTACGTGTTGATTTCTATCAACACATAATGTTGTATGATATAGAGGTGTACTACCGCAAAAGTATTCTCCGTCGGGATTTCCTGCAACAACACCACGCCGTTATCGTGATTCTGATTGGCCAGAAGACATTATCAAAGATGTTTTATTGAGAAGACGATCACTACGTGACAAAAGTTTTCAAAACCGTTTCTAGTCTTCGGTATTTCCAGACAAGTGGCTACTGAAATCAATCTTACTAACTGCTGTCTGTGCAATTTACTCCGCGCGAGTTGGCGGACTTTATTTAGCTTACTTTAACATCATTTTTCATGGTGGGGCTAAGGTGGGGCTAAGCCATTTCTTGGTATGGCTGTAGCCTACCCCAGCCATACCCTGGCGCCGCCACTGGCTGCTGAGCCTATTTAGTGTGCATACGACACACCTGGCACAGTTTATTCATTTCACACGTAGCGTAGCGCCTGCATGTCGTCGTCCAATCCTTTTGTCAATCCTTCTTAACCGCCTTCGCTTCCGAATCAGCATTGCTATTGCATTTGAGTGGTCGACGATCTGTATTTGTGTTTGCTTAAATAACTCAGACGAAGCTCATGTCTGAGGTCGGAAGGTAAACAGACGCCATATACAGCAGGTGGGCGCAGCAGTATACGCGGGAGGTTTTTCTTCTTCTTTTTCTCTCGGTTTTTTGGCGGATTGCAACTTTAAGGTGCATACCGCCACCTACTGTACTCGCCGTGAAGTTGTTTGCGGCCTGCCAGTAAACCCAAAGCAGAAGAAGAAGAAGTGACGTCAGCGGTTCATTTGCCTAATCCACCCCCAGGAACTCATTTTGGTGTGAACGCGATCTGCTTTAGTTCATCAGAACTAAAAGAGTTCTCATGAACTAAAGTTCTCATGAACTATTGTGGGAAAAGTACTTGGTGTGAACGCGCCTATATAGGCTACAGTAGGCTTATATACGTTTGACACACACAAACACACAAAAAAACAAATGACTGTCTATAGGCCTACACTATACACAGTATGTTTACCTTTTTAAACTAGGCTAAATGTCATTATTAAT